TATCTTGTGTTATTATATATCAAAGTAAATTTATCTTAAACATTATCCAATTAACTCTAATAATGACGAAAGATCTCTGACACAATTATATTGTTATCATCATTGCATATAAAAAACTTTAATATCTTAAATTTTCAGAGATGTGCGTTCCTATAAGTGGTAGAATCAAGTTATGATGCTTAGTTAAGATGCAATATTTTATCATACGTTTTAGTTTTAGCAATTCTCTTTGAAAGTAATTGATTTGTTACTGATTTGCTATGCTAAACATAAATATATTACTTAACAAATCATAGAAAAAAAAAGAAATAACAAATAGAAATTCATATAGAAAGTATTTTCATGATAAATAATATTTACAGAAATATTAGATGAAACTTAATGACATCAGAAACTTCATGATGTATACTCTTGGCTTATTATTACTTAATGAAATTATAATCTATATTAGCGTTTTGAAGTATTTTTTTTACTATATTCGAATTGTTGAATTTTTAATTTTTTTGTTCGATTATTAATAAAGGAAACAATTATAATAAAATAAAATTGATGAAATTTAATCATAAAAAAAATTAGAGATTAATAAATATAAGCATTTTTGTTACCTTGTTTTTTCAAAAAAATAATATTAACGGTCTGAAGTGGACTAAATAATTTGTCCAAAAATTTTCTCAATCAACGTATTTTTTTCTATCTTAATTTTTTAACCAATGAAAATACCATTATTGGCAAGAAAAGCCCAAGCTTCTACTATATATGTCTCTGATTTTTATTTATAGTCATTGCGAAATCAAAACTTAAAAATTGTTTATATGTCATTATGAATTGAAACCTAGTTTCCGGCGGTAAAACAAACATCTTTAGAATTAAGACAAACAACTTTATCTAATTCTAATAAGTCTAGCCTCTATCACGTGTGCCACCAATTGTGTTTAAATTTTTTTTTTACACACACCCAATCCATATTACTCTATTCCATAACTATAATATGTTGATCACTTAGCTTTGTATCACCAAAACAATAGTAATTATTTTGTTTATCAATTGATGGATCTCTCCTTCTTTGTCTTCTTAGATTCATTTTTCTATTCTTCAAAAGCATACAAAAAACTAATTACGTTTTTTTAAAAGCAACTTTGTCTATCAGAATAAATTTTGGCACCCATTTCAAAATTCTTGTACTTCTTCTTATCTTTTACATCTTTCTTTGTTTATCTACCTTTTTCATATTTGTTATCATCCTCTCGTGTTCTTTGCATTCATTTTTTCATATTTCTTCTAATCTTTATTTGCATTGTTAGTATCTTCACTAATTCTGAAAAATACTTTGTCCTCTAATGTCTCAGAATCTCTCTCACACAGTGCAAGCAATTGTAGTGGTTTTTTTCCAGAGTTAGGAAATTCTTCTCAACTCCAATAAGCTGTGCCGAACTTGTCAGAATAAAAGGGCATGAAGAAAACCTTATATCAAAGTTTATGCAGATTCAGAGGAAGATTATTGGCTAGCCTTGAGCCTAATCTTTTCAACACCAAAAACCCTTTTTCATTAGGATGCATTTACGTAACATTTAAAATCAAAATTAGAGAAACTAAAACATATATGTAAAGCCCGTAAACAGCTGAGATCCTTTTTGAAGGATCTTCCATAAATCCAAATTGGAGAAACATCCCATGGAACCTGATCCTCAGCTGTTTTAGTCCTTTTTTGCTTCCCAGCTGCAAAATTATATATGTCCCCTTTTTAAAAGTGATCATAGTCCTTAATAGTTTTAATATTGTATCATTCTTGGCAAGATCACTTATGTAAAAATTCTTTTGCGATCCAATAGTCTTTGGAAAATGTAAATAATTTAGATCGACTAATAAAAGAGTCTTAAAACGTGTGTCGTTTTGGAACATATCCAAAGTACTTATGAAACATGAGACGACATATACTGTATTCTCCAAAATAACTACATAATCTCTAAAACAGAGGTACACACAAGATAAAATTAAACAAACCGAAGCATAGGTTTCTTAATAGAATCAAACAGGATGGTTGATCATATGAAACAAAAACCCGAGCTGCGCTGTACCATGGATCAATAGTCAGCTTTAACTATGGTTCATAGAACCACTTAGCAACCCCATGGCATGATTATGATGCATCTGAGAACCCCAAAGCAACACTATAAAAAGCAAAAATATATTAAAAAATAACCAATAATCAAAAAAAAAAAAAAATATATATATATATATATATATATATATATATATATATATAACTCAATAAACGGATACAAAAGATGGGATTCATTATATCAAACACAAACACACTTTAGCTAAATTTATATTTATTAAAACTGCCAATACTCGATACATTAAAAGAACATATATACAATACCAAGTCACATAATAAAGTTTACAATGCATCGTTTATGGAAGATGAGCTGAAAAGATCTGTACGATTGAAACTGAAGAGGAGAAGAGTTTGCGCGGCGAGCAAATGTGCTCTAAAAACTGTTGAGACGAAGGGGAGAGAAATCAATATCATCTTCCTCGAGACCATAATAGTAATCCATTCCTTTGGCGTTATCGATTAGGACTTCTAGGGTTTCCACCATGCTTCATCTTTTTTCAATGTAAAAGTCCAATAAAAAAAGAGAGACGGAGCGACCATGTTTTGGCGAGCAACCATATTTTGGCAAAGGAAAATAATTTAGTGTGAGAGATAAGCTTGAGGAATGTTCTGCAAGTTGTAAGGTTAAGTAAGACAAATGCAAAGAGTCAGTCTGAACCGCCACAAGTGAAACGTAGATGAATCTTACTTCACAAGTTTTAGAATATACCTAAAACATCTCGTGTACGCTCCAAAACTTTTGTTTCAAGCTCTTCATAAAATGAATAATTAATTCTAAACCAATTTAGTCACACCAGTCACAATCGTTGAGAAACCCGTAGAAACTAATGTATGTTACAAAATCAAACAACAAAAGATTTCCATAGAATGCCAGATAATTTAGCGAATGTGCTAAAAGTTAGACAAATATGATAGAACAAAAATCTGCCTAAGACAACAAAATACAAACAGTTCAGTTAAGCACACAGCAGATGTTACCGCGATCATTGGGTGTTACCTCCCACCTCTGCAAATAAAACACAGCAAGCTGGAGCGTGAGATCAACTGATGTATAAATTAACAAATATAGAACAAATAGTTAAAACATAAACTCGATTGCAAATATTAAAAAGTAAATCTAAAATTAATGAGAAAATATACATATACCATAGAAGAAGATGAATTCGAGACAACTTTAAATATGATTACCCATGTTCAAAGAACCACTTAGCAACCATGTGGCATGATTTATGATGCATCTACAAACCGCAAAGCAACCCCATAAAAAGCATGAATATATTAATACATAACCAATAATCAAAATATGTATTTCATAAGTTATTACTCAATAACATACAAGCTTTTAAATCAAATCAAAAAAAAAAAAAAACACAAACAAACCTGGCTGGCTTTTGCAGTTGCAACATTAAACCAGCTGAGGCATGCCACACATCCCATAATTCTCTAGTTGTAGAGCTGACCAGTATACCGGATCTCGCAAAGGCAGCAGTTGATTCATCTTCACGAATAGCTAGATAGAACATAGCAGACAGGAAACTAAGCTATCAACCATCAAGGAATCATGAGAAACAAATCAATTTTCATACATATTCAAAGAAAAACCAGAAGATACTGAAACTTAAAAGACCCATACTAAAATTACGAACAATCATTATTTGAAATCCACTATAGTCAATAATCAACAAATGCATTCTAATCTAGTCCAAAAAATGAAAAATAACATTAACATCATGTAACGACTAAAACCAATAGATAGATATACATATACCTATAATAGTTGGCAATATATGGTGAGAGTAATGATCTCATCCATAACCTTTCGATCCACTCCTCACATCTTCCTCTTTTTTCTTCTTCCCCTACAACTTCAACCCTAGCAAAAAAAAAAGAAAAAACGATTAGATCAAAGCAAACGAAGTTAGAGAAGATGAAAAGTACTACCTCTTGAGGTACTCGCGGAAGAAAGAGAGCGTGGGTGTAGTCTGTGTAGAGAGAAGGGATGGGTCTGAGTTACACTGATCGTTGAAGGCTTTGAGCTCACTAAGCTTCGTCGAATCCATCTTTGCTTCCGATTGGAAAGAGAGGGATGGAGACAGGAAAGAATGTGCATTTGATTTTCTTTTTCCATATACCTTTGAACAAAACAAAAAAAAAAGATCAGATTCATACCAAATACAACAAAAATTAGCCTCGTCAATAAAAATATATCGTGTTCATCCTTGTCCGGATCAAAATGAGAAGAAGAGGGCTTTGATTCTTACCAGTAACGTGAAAATCATGTCATATAAAGCTCGATGTGAAGGAGAAATATAATAATTAAAAGAAACACACCTTTTTGTTTGATCTTCTAGGGCTAGCGATTTGTTGTTCATCATTTCTCCATATACCCTAAAACAAAAATCCATAAAATCAGCCTCATACACCAAATATAACAAGAACAAACAAACTGTGATATGCATGAACTAAATTAAACCTAGAAGAAGATCTATATAAATGAAACTAAACCTACGACTGCAAAAAAAATAAAAAAGTGGCTAGAGAGAAGATTACACTATTTATAGAAAAATATATTTAGGATTTATACAGAATAATTTTGTGGGCTACAGTCTAAAATCAAAATCAACATTCTTAAGGTTTGTAATACGTGATCAAGAACCAGACCAAATATTAAACCAATATTTTGGGTAAAGACGTCATCGGTTCATTTTAAGTATATTAGCAGACGTTGTCGAGTAAAAATAAAACATATGTTACTGAGTTTTCATTAAGAGGGAAAAAAAACGACTAAAGTATGCTCAGAACGAACATAGAAACGATATATAGGAAATCTACTTCTAAAATAATAGTATAGATGTAATTTTTATTAATTATTTAAGTGACACAATATTCGCTTCTTTTTTACTTAATTTTAAACTCAAAAGGTGACATCACGTGCACGAAAACTATGCACGAAAACATAGATATATGATTACTGAGATTAAGGATCAACAACACTAAAAAAAAAATCTTTCTGATTGATTAACCCATTTAACAAAAAATTATGGCCGGACAATGTAGATATAAGACGAATCTAAAACCTAAATAAACGACAAAAGTAAGACCACCAAAAAAGCTTTAGAGACATATGTGTTTCTACAATAAGCTCCAGATTCATCGGGGTCAGTGGTTCCCGGTGGAATAAGTCCACCACCGTCTATTCCGAACGGTGACGCCGTGGTCCCAGATGGTGGCCTCAGTGACGTCACGGGAATGTTTCCAGCGGTTGCTGTCGGCGTTCCTCCCACCGTTGTTGTCGATGCTGACCCTCCTGCGTTGGTGCTATTGCAAAACTAATGTAAATAACATATATATAAGATATATTCTTGTTCCGTATAATTAATGCATCAATTACAGTCCAATTTTAAATTGGTGATCTGTAACGACTTTTGATTTACAGTGTTTACAGTTTAGTTGGAAACAAGGAACCGAATTTAATATTAGACAATTGACAGAAATACGACATTTTATGTTATTTTAATCTTAAAATTTGCCAAAATCCAAAATATTAGGAAGAACCAAGAGATACTACATGATTTAAAAGCTCTTACTTAAAACCTATAGACACATGTCTAAACCTAAAGTTGGTACTAGATTTACAACTTATATAAGATATATAATGGTATTTTGGGATTTAAAAACTATTCTGGCCGTATTTCATGGTACTTCATGTAAACTCTACTTACAATATACAACATTCGATGAAAACAAAAAGTGGAAATGGCAAAAAGAAACAAATGATTTTCCAAAGTAAATGTAACTCATCAACTTGTATAAGCTTGTTCGTCAAGAAATCTCTAAAGTAAAAACCAAAGGTCTGCACCAAGAGTACATGCTTTTTTCTTTTCTTTTTCAAGAGTCTTGTAATTATTTAGTTGTGTACTTGTGTTACTATTCTGACTTGGAAAAGTGAAAGACCAACGAACAGAATAAAAACGGAATTCAGAAACTAAAAATGAGATGGGCCCCGGAAATGCAGACAGGAATCTCTGCCGTTGAATGATTTCCTAGTTACCAACTAAGATTTATCCAACGGTCCAAAAACATGAAATGGGATATACATTTAAAGACATGCAAAATGGTACGACGCATGAAATAGATTCACATATTATCAGTCAAATGAATGAAAAAATCGTGCAGTCCAATTTTTTAAAACTAGGAGACGATAATTTTTCATTTTTTTACAGCGACGGTAAGGAATTTTATGTTAGTTAATTTAATGGTAATGTAGCTCCGAAAAATTCAGTGAAAATCAAAATATATTGATATAGGTATAAAAAAAGAATTTGAAACAAACGGAAAACTGTAAAACATAGAAATATCAAAACTTATTGGCTATCAAATGTGAGCATCAATGGAATACATCGCATAAAACTCACGTACCTCAAAGAATTCGGGTATACGCATGATCCGTAACCTACACAAGAATTAAATAAACAGAATTAGAGCAAGTTAACCCAATTACAATCAAATAAAAAGCTTATATTGCTAAACCAGACCAGAAAAGGTATGAAGCATAAATAAGGAAAAATTTAACAAACAAATCGACAAATTTGTCTACCGAGAAACAACAACTATTATAACAATTTAACCGATCTTGTTAACCGGTCCTTTTGTAAATTGAAATACATACTTGGATCGGTTTTGGCGATGGTGGATGTGCCGGCGAAGTTGCAAGAGCCAGGAGCCATGGCTCGACGCTGATAGTAGCTGTTGAAAGCGTAAGATGCGTGAGCTTGAATGGTGTTAGGAAGGAAACAAAGACCAGTGGGCTGGATTGGAGCACAGTCGGCTCCAGCGGCACATGCGTAGTCTAGAGCCACCTGAAGCGCCTGGCTAGTAACATCAAACCGAGCGACGCACCACATCGCCGCGGAGGAGCGGAGGAGGAGAAGGATAAAGATGGAGAGATATTGGAGATAGAGAGCCATTGGCAAGTGGTAAGAGAGAGAGAGGAGTGAGAGTGAAGAGTTTGAGTGTGGAGCCTTACCACTCTCTTTTGCTTTTGCTTTGTTAGTTTTTCCTTTCTTTTCTTTTATATTCTTTTCGCGGTTTTGTGTTGTTTTTTCTTTTTCTCCTTGTGTTGAATTGAGCTTTCCGGGTTGTTTTTAAAAATAAAGCTTATATAGAATATATTTGGACTAGTTGTTATCCGAAAATATGGAGGTTAGAACTTAGAATCAATAAGAGGTTAGAATACAAGCATGTAAGAGAATAAAACTGCGATTTTATATAATTAGATATATTATTTATTTTATATCTTCTGTGATAATAATGGAATTTACGACTAGATGGTTTGTCTCCTCTACAGTCTACATATTGTATGCAATAATACAAGATATAAACAAATGCAGTTGCGGCTCCGTTTTTATTTGAGAAACCCACTTTAGGCACACAAGACACTGTTGTAATGAGTTTTAATGTTGTTTTAATTTTGTGTATTATTGAATATGTGGAAGGGAATGGAAGGGAATACTAAATTCCTTATCATTCCTTAAAAATTACATCATTTAAAAGGAATATATTGTACCCATGATTCCTTCTCATTCCTTATGTTTTAGGGAACTATAATATTAATATATTCCTTATAAAAAATGAGAAGGAACAATAATTCCTTTTATCTTGTTTCTTTTATTCCTTTTCCTATTCATTCCTATTATTACTTATATGGTCACCAGTTAAAACCATACAGTACAACTTATATACATAGTAAGATGAGATCATGGAGTAATTATAAAAGAATATTATATAAATAATTGACTAACATAATTATAGGGATTGAGAAGCAGTCAAAAAAAAATTATAAGGATTGAGCTATTAAGGTAAAATGAGTGATTACCTTTTCTTAAACACTTATATCCTTTATATGTTGTTGCTGTTCATTTTGATATTCCAGAAACAACATCAATGGTGCTACAGCTACATTGACTAATGTTATAGAACATATTTCTACAACAACTGTTACTGCCATTGAGACATAGCCAACTACCCCAAATATTGATAGTGACAAGATTTTCTCAGATAACGCAGTCTCCAAAAAGGCTGTAATGGTTAAGATCGCTCTCATCGACTTAGTCACTAACAACACTGTTCATGTTATCACTAATACTGAAACTGTTTATATTATCACTAATACTGCAACTTATTATGTTGTTCCTCGGGCTACAGATTATGTTTTCACAACTCTTTAAGTGAGGATGTAGTGAGAATGTGGCTCCGAGTCCTTATCAGGTTTTGTTTGTTGCATTTTTGTTTGATTTAAGTGTGACATTTTTTTTGGGGTATACGATGCTTGATTAAAAAATAAGGAACTACTCCACTACAAGAGGGAATACAAAGGGGTAGGGCCAATTTTGTAAAAAGATCGATCTCTACATTAGCAGATCTTAGAATAAATTCGAAAGAGATACAATTGAAAGTAGAAATCAAAAGTCTGATATCCAAAAGAGGGCCTAGAATTTTCGTCGATTGACCACCAGAATTGAGAAGACGAACAAGCTCCTGGCAATCTGAAAAACAGGTCAAGAAAGAGATGTCCACTGCTCTGGCATTAGCAAGAGCAGATTTGACTGTGAAGACTTCAGCAATTAGGGCTGAGCCGATGAAGGTCTCAGGTTCCGATTGGCAGAGGAGAGGCGTTCCAGAAGGATTCTTGATTACCTATCCCAGATCACAATCCAGATTAGTCTTCAACCAAGCTGCATCTGAGAAGCAAAGAAATCGCGGTTGCATTGTAGATGTTACTGGTGAGGGTTGGGACAGCGTACGAGGGCTTGTGAGCAAAAGTTGAGCCCCTTGCTGATAACAGGTTTTCTATTACCACTACTATGGTTCTGTTTTCCATTTTTTATGTGCGACCATAATGACTTATTTTCTTTTTTTTTTATTTCAGCAGCCACGCCTTCATTCGCTTTTAAAATGACCAGACCATCTCCCACAAACTCTCGGAATGTGACCAAAACGTTAACAGATTTGTCACATTTATGCAACAATTTAAACACATGCAAGTCACGGTTGGTAACCATCTCCACGGGTGTTGTGCCATTCCCATTGAACTCAGCAAGCGTATCTTCAATCCAATAATACATTTCAGTTGACACTACGCGCTTATCTAAACCATATTCTGCACATGTTGTTTTTCTCAATCGGTCAATCCCTTCTGCATTATGAAAATTGACCGACTTGCCCATGCGAGATTTGTCAATCTTGAAATCCCATACACCATTAGAGTACATAATTTACCTCCCTGCCATAACCACCAAATTTTCATCCACTTGACCTGCACGAAACATTAATCAGTCAACGTTCACATTAAATTTAAGTGTACAATTTTTGTCGAAAAACTTGTCTTCGGCTCTTTTTTTCTAATTCCAACATCTTCTCTTTTGGTTTCATATCAGGATACATGTTGCTGAAAACAAGATCAATGTTTCTTTTTCGGAAACAAATGGTTTTTAATAATTTCCCTTTTTCTTCTAGGTAAATGTGTATACTGCTAAATGTGTTGTTTCCCACCAGTTTTTTTGGTACTTTAGGCCCATATACTTTTAAAAGTATAACAATAGGCCCATTATTTCTGGGTACTTTACGATCCACACATTGTATTGTCGTTTTGAAAACCAGGTATATACAAACAATCTGGAGACCATGGCTTTTGGTTAGTGTCACCCGTTTCAGGATACTTAATTCAAACCGGATACTGGGTACTTTTACCTAAACCTGACCCATTAAAATTTTGGGTACTTTACCGAACCAGTGAGAGTATACTCTCACTTTGACTCGATATTTACTCGTGCGTGACATCTATCACACACATACCATGCACACCACCCTTCCCCATGAGAAAGTGGACACTTTTCCCCTCTATGTCTCTCTTTAAAACACATCTTCTTTCTCTTCGTCTTTCTCTAAGACACAAGGGCTAATTGCCCAATCTTTCTCTCTCCTATATTCATTGGTCACATTTCTAATAAAAACATCTTTGTACCCAACCAACTAATAAAAACTCAAAAGTACCCATTCTCCTAAGATACTCTATATAATATAGTAACGTTTTTTTTTTCAGAAACAATTCTGATATGCTGGCATATGTCATCTTGCACTACTTCACCAATTATTCATTCTATAGGATATCTCTCTTATTATTGGACTGCCCAACACCAGGCATCGGAGACTCAACCTTATGGGTTGGATTTTTACAAAGAATGGAAGATACAAGGTAAAATCAGGGTACCTTACGGAACAAGATAAGTCTCTAACGCCCACAGGTCCATCACTTTACAGACCAAATGTGAGCAAATTATAGGCACAAGCATAATCAGTCAAATGTCTACCAAAGATTAAACATGTCTTATGGCGAGCTATCTCGAGATGTATGGCTGTTACATATCGTACTAATTGTGATCCTTAATGCCAATGGTGTGGGGTGGTACGGGAAACGATCAATCATACACTTATTGAAAGTATGGGCACTTTCAATAATTCCCACGTCTACTAATGGTTTTCCAACAGGTGCACTTTTTTCCAATATGGCTAAGTTGTTCTGGCATTTGCCAGATCATGAAGACATGAAAGTATACCCATGGCTACTATGGTATATCTGGAAAATGCGAAATGATAAGATTTTTTCAAATATTGATAGGGATCCACGAGAGGTGGTCCAGTTGGCAATACCGGAAGCAACAACTTGGGAGGAAGCACCAACTGACATACCAGAAATAGCCCCAACAGTAATACAGGAAATGGTTAACTATATGGGTGGTTTTACATGTCAAATGGATGGGTCGAGGAAATAATCTAATCCAAACTCGGGGTTGGACTGGTACTGCCAAGGCGACGGAGTAATTGGCCCCTTAATGGGAGCAAAAACTGTTCGGCGAAGTATGTCGGCATTACATTCCAAATTGGAAGCTATGATATGGGCAATGCACTGCATGTTGGATGCATGGAGACTTAAAATGACCTTTCCCACAGACTATTCTGACTTGGTGAACATGGTGTCTTACCCAACGGAGTGGCCAGTATTCTCAATACATTTGGAGGAATATGATAACAAGCAGAAGGGAATTCATCTCTTTCTCGATAGCTCACATACCACACACGCAGAAGACATAGGCAGACAAGCTAGCACGGAGTGCTCGAAGATGCTTCTATCATCTATCTCATGTAAACTCAATTCCACCAACTTGGGGTCGTTCTATGAATCTGAGGCTGTTGACAAAAAATAAAAATACTTATATCTAAATTAAATTAGTGAGTGGGTGATAAATTAAATTACTTTATTATTATATCAAACGCAATAGATTTTATTTTGATCAAAATTATTTATAAATTCTCAATTAGCTCAAAATAAGATTATATTAAATATTATTTATACTAAATTTTGGAAAAAATTAAATTAGTGAATTATTTTTAATTAAAAAATTAGTTCTAAATTAATTATTGATTAAATAAGTTATCTAGTTACTGTTAGAGATGAGATTCGTACTCTCTCTAAAAGCCCTACATCAATTGAGATAGACCCACTTCAAACCCTAAAGAATATTTAGGTAGGCAAGATAAATGAAAATCTTCCAATTGTCCGATCAAATTCCAGAAAAGACGGAAGGTCGGCCTTATCAAGTGATATATCATGGTTTTTATGGTTTTTAACCATGATATAAGTCCTTTTTATTGAGTCTTTTTGGTATTTTTAGAGTCCTAGAAGAGTCTTTGCAGGTTAAAGCATGTCTGGAGCATAATTGGAGATTTTGGAACCTTTTGGAGCATTCTGAGTTGAAGCCACGAAGTACCTAGCTCGAAGAAGAAAGTATGCCATATGGTGACGCTCGTCACCAAGCTGGTGACGCTCGTCACCCACCAAGGAAGGAGGTCGTGGCCTGTTTTTAAAAGATTGAGAAGAAATTGCAGTTTTGGCCCAGAAGTTCCAGTTTTTGCAAAAAGGCCCCAGATCGTGTTTTAGCTTGTATATTAGGTTTTTCAGCCATTCTTTTGGCAGATATCTTGTATCTTATTATTTTAGAGAGCTTGAGAGAGAGATTTGTAGAAGAGCTTTTGGAGAGACAAATCAGACTCCTTCAGAGCAGATTTTGAA